ATATATATATATATATATATATATATATATACTTTGTATATATATATTTTTTTCCACCATAAACTAGTCAGTCTTTTAAAGTTATCAAAGTCTGAAATTAAAAATATCAAATTTAAATGCCTTAAAAAAAAATCTCCTTAAGGGCCTTAAGTTTTTAAATACAGTACTACCATATTATCTTCTCTGGTTCAGATCACAATTTATTTTTATTTTTTTTAAAGAAAAATGCACCAATTTTCTCCCTCCGTAAAATTACAAACAAAAAAAAGGAAAAAAACTTTTTTTGATTTAAAAGAAAAAAAAAAAAAAAAAAAAAACCTGAGATTGACCAAGAGCTTTCACCAGTTTTATTTTTTTTATTTTTGGATCCTGCCCCACTGTTGGACACCCAAGTATTAAGGATAATTAGAAGTAGATTTCAGCTACAAATGCTAACTATATATTTTGAACTTCTGTTTTTCAGATGCGTACAACTACACACCGAACGTCAGCCTGGCCGTTCCTCTTGGTATGGGCAATCCCTGTCTGCCCACTCAGTACCACACCCTACAGTCTAGCCCAGTCATCTCAGTTTCCTCTTGTCACCATACAGGCTACGGCCTTCAAAATGACAACCATCCAGTGTCTGATTATTACCTGCCACAAGGCTTGAGACCCAACGGTGCTCCAGCCCTGGAAAGCCCCCGTATAGAGATCACTGCCTACAGCCAGTACCCAGAAAATGAGGTGGAAGAGAGCAGCGGTGAGGATCACATCATCAAACGAGGTGTCAACTCCATTGTCACACTGACACTGCCTAATGCTGATGGGTACCGTGATCCCAGCTGTCTAAGCCCTGCCAGCAGCATGTCTTCACGCAGCTGTAACTCAGATGCCTCATCGTATGAGTCTGGCTTCTACAACTATGACAATTCACCACAGAACTCCCCTTGGCAGTCTCCCTGTGTTTCTCCCCGAGGTTCTTCCTCACTTCTGTCATGTCCACATGCAGTCGGTCCAGCAGCAGGCTCCCCTCACCATTCGCCCTCCACTTCCCCTCAAATAGAAGCAGTGGCAGAGGAGGCCTGGCTGGCCCAATCTCGTGGATCTAGGCCAAATTCCCCCTCCTGCGCTGGAGGTGGTGGAGGGAACAGCGGGGGCATGGGGAAGAGAAAGTACAGTTTTAATGGCTCCTCCTACCATCAGACACCCTGCTCACCTATTCAGTCACCCACCCCTTCTCCACACGGCTCCCCCAGAGTCAGCGTCACTGATGAGAACTGGCTCGCCAACACCAACCAGTACACCAACTCTGCCATTGTGGCCGCCATCAATGCCCTAACCACAGATGGGGTGATAGACATGGGGGAAGGAATTCCAATGAAGACGCGGAAGACCATGCTGGACCTCACCCACTCCATGAGCTTGAAGGTGGAACCTGGTGGTGAGGATCTGGGACCAGATGGGGAGATTTGTCATGAGGATTATCCCTCATGCCTGGGACTGAAGAAGGAGAACTACAGTGGAGGGTTTCTGGATGTGCCCCAACATCCGTTCTCCTGGCCTAAACCCAAGCCTTACCTCAGGTATGTTGAGCTGCTCCAAGTCCCGCTGTGTCAAAAGCTTAAAAAGCTTAAAGGTTGTATTTCACTGGACTGCTGCTGTTGGAGACTAGCTGCTACTCAAAAGTAGGAGAAAATAGAAACGTTTCTGATTTCTGCCTCACTGATTTAGGAATGTTTGTGACCTGTGAGCCATGCAAATGTGTTTTGAGAGGATAGTGCTCTTTAACATCACGATCTGTTCTTGTGCCCAGTGTATGAAAAACTCTAGGCCATGTAAATTATTTAGTTGCCCACATCCGCCTGCTTTGTACTTTGTACTAACCTTAACAACTGCCTATGATTTACTCCACTAGAGACTACTTTTGAAATGAGCAATTACATTTGGAACAGTTTATTAAGTATACTATAATTTGTCACCTCAGGTTTTAGTCTTTATTGTTGACTAATCTTCCTGTACAAGTGTCAAAGTACAGCTCTAGCAATTACAGAAACTAAACCGAGAATGTTTTGAGACTAGTTTGAGACAATTGCAAAATGTTTGTGACTATTTTGAGAAAAAAAAAGTTGCGCTATTTTTTTGAGCATGCTCAAGTGAGTCTAAGTCTGCAAGCCTTTATGAATCAGGTGAGGAAACTGATCTCCTGCAAACATTTTGGGACATTTTTGAGATTTTAATGTTGCCATCTAGCCACTATCAGTCTCATGAATTACTGCCTTAAATCTAATAATCCCGTATCAAAGTCCAAAATATGTAGACACAGTGGTAAAAATAAATATATAAACAAATAAATAAAATAAAACAGCACCCTTGTTCATTCTGACAATGGTTAAATTTACCATCTGCAGTTTTTTTCCATTAAACAAACTTTTATTTATATTTTGGCTAGAAGTACTTCTAGATATAACATCTAAGACCCCCCACCCCCACCGTATCAAGCTCAAGTTCCCACCCATGCATAAAACAACTGTTTTGCCTCTTCTCATTTACTTCTCACATAGAATTTGTAACCCAGTCTATATGTACCTGTTTTATTCCAACCATATACACGTTTTAATTAGCATAAGTTTGCCTTATTATTTTATTGTATTTTTGTGTCCAGATTTTGTTTTGGTTATTTTCCTATAAGGATAAGGCTTATTTTTATCTTTGAAGATCATATCAATAAATAGAGTAGCAAAGGCATAGGCTCCTCAGAAAAACAAGCTTTCTTTGAAGATCCAAACAATTCCATAAATCAAAATTTGCACCAAAGAGTTGCTCAGCATGTGTGAGCTACTGTTACTATTCCAACCCACACAGATGTATACTCTGACTCAAATGCTTCAGATTTTTTTGACAATAGGTAAGCATTTTTATTTCTTTCTTTTTTATTGCTTCGTGGAATTTCTGTCCAATCCCAAAACACACCTTCCTGTTGGAAATCAAGTGTTTGATTAAGATAGTGAGCAGCAGGAAGTAATGGTGATGTGCCTGCCTGAAGGGGAAGCAGTCTGTTAGTTAATCAGACGGCTCACTGCATTGGCTCGTCGCGCCGTTAGCCCATCTTTTTCTTTGTGTAGCTAAGGTGATGTCATTCGCTGACTGGCCAGATAAAGCCCTGTGGGGGGAAACCAGTTTGTTTTGGGTCAACAAACAGCCCACAAGTTTAACAACGATGCCAAAGATTGGTTTCAGTCATGCCACCTTTCAGGTCAGAGGTTTGAGTTTACCAGGCATCCGGTGCCGAGAAATATTGTCCTGCACATGTTTGTTTTGGTTTAGATATCTCTTCAGCGTTCACGTGGGAATCTCTGAGACTCCATCTGGAGAACAATGATGTTGAGGGATGCCAGCTGCAGCTCTGAGATATCATACTCGAAGACATGGGTGTGCTGCTTCTTTGTCTGTCCCATTAAAAACAAATGGGGCAGTGTTTGAAAATCTCACAGCTATCAATTTGCATCAAAGTGCCAGTAAACTTGAGATTTGTTTTTGTGTCCTACAAATGTTTTTCCTCCCACTGTCCCTTTCCTAACTCATCATGACAGTTCCTACCTGTCAACGTATGCTGTGAAACACACCGCTCCCAAACAATGATACTTGTTCATCTCTCATTTGGTGGTTGGATAGCCTAGCCGTTCCTCTCCCCAGTTACAATCTCAGCTCGTCCTGAGGGATCTGAAGGGGTTCCTAGGCCACAGAGCATACATACATTTTCCATCAAGTTCTGAATCTGCCTGTGGTCTCCGCTCAATGGGAGGTGCCTGGAAAACCTCTAAAGGGAGGTGCCCAGGAGTTTTCCTGATCAGATGACTGAGTCACCTCATATGACTCCTTTCAGTATGGAGGAGGCTCTATGCAAAGCTACTCCTGGATGATGGAGCTCATCATATTTTCTTGAAGACTGAGCCCTGACACTGAAAAGAGGAAGCTCATTCCAGATCTTTTTCTTTTCTTCATGATCCATACCTCATATAGATGAAGGTTAGAACATGGATGGACCAGTGAACCAAGAACTTTGCCTTTCAGTCCAGCTTGTTCTTTAACGTGGTGAGCCACAGTTAAGCCACAATCAGTGCCCCAATCTGACAGTTTATCTCTCACTCCATCCTCCAATCATTCATGAACAAGATACTCAGAACATGAACTTCTCTGATTGAAGAAAAAAAAAACTTATTCCTTACCCAAAGGGAATATTCCACCTTTGCCTAATTACCTCCTCAGTCTAAAGATTTTTGTCCTGCAATTGGTTAGATGATAAACTGCAATAAAATACCAAAGGATCAGGCCAGGCCAGCTGGATTACACCAAAGTGCTCCAGTCAGGGTTAGTTGCATTTACTTAAAAAAGGCACTTGGCGTTTTCTACAAACATTTTGATCAAGTTAAAAATACATTTATGAAAAGCAGAACTTGCATCTGATTTTCTTTTCATCTGACAACAATCATTGTTTCCTGTCTCTGCAGTCCATCTCTGCCAGCTCTCGACTGGCAGTTGCCATCTTGCTCCGGCCCTTACAACCTACAGATCAAGGTGCAGCCAAAGTCCCACCACAGAGCTCATTATGAGACAGAAGGAAGCCGAGGAGCCGTGAAGGCGCTGTCTGGAGGACACCCTGTTGTGCAGGTATGTCTACAATACAGTATGTTCAGGCAACTTATATCCTTTCACTGCCATCTTTAAGGCTCATTGTCTGTTCACCAGATGTCAAATGTAGCTCTGTGTTTGATAAACTCTGTAAGACATGTAAAAAAGAAAATCCAGTATGAGCAACAGAAGATTTTCCACTTTGATGCCATGAATGTTAGTGACTGCATGTGATCACAGTGTAAGTCATGGTGCATTTTATTAGTCTAAACTTGTGATACCGTTAAGCTATTATTATTATTATTATTATTTTAAGTGAAGCCTGTCAAGAGGATAGCACAATTCATATATTAAATAGCTGTTTAAATGGCTACAGGGTGAAGAAAAAAGTTTGACAGACAGAACTGATCACTTAAGACCAAAATGGACTTTTACCAAAAGCTTCACTCTCTTTGGAAGTTGGTCCACTTACCATATTGACAAGCTAAGAATGTTAGTTTGGGTAGACCAACCTCCAAAGTGAAATTTATCAGCTTAAAACAATTCTCATTTTCAAAATGTATTATTATTATTTTTTTACAATTGTTATTTTATAAATCCAACAAAGTTAAGTCAGGTCCTCTGGAGCAGTGGTTCCCAACCCTGGTCCCTGAGGAACACCATCCTGCATGTTTTAGCTGTTTCCCTGCTTCAGCACATGATTCAATGATTTTATTACGTCCTCAAGTTCTGCCGAAGCCTGTTTATCATCATATCATTCAAATCAGGTGTGTCAAAGCAGGGAAACAGCTGAAGTTATTTTATAAACCTTTACACCACTGTTCATTTTTACATTGCGTGGTCATTGCAGCAGACATTTCCTAAAATACTGGCTGGATATGGCCGAAACTGTACCAATAAAGCTACAACTAGCTGCTGCCGCTATTTTAAATGGCAAGTGATTTAGTAATTTTACATAAGCAACTGTGGAATATAAAAGAGATGACCATTTAAAGATTTATAAAATAGAAACTACTTGAATTTCTATAACATTTTAATGATTGGTGATGTTTTAATAGAGCAATCCACTACAGTGGTCTTAGCTGCGTTCAAACTAGCGATTAGCTCATTAGTTCTGTTGGACCTAAACTCAAAATGAGATTATTTAAACTGCTATGCAATAAATTATTTGTTCCTTTCTCTTTCACAAAACTCACTTTAAGATGCCTGAACTTGAAAAAAGGCCAAGATGACCTGTGCAAAATGATGTTTCATATTCATACAAACAATATTCAAGATCTCTGCAGAACTTCACATGTTTCTTGTGTCCTAAAATTAAACTACTGTAGATAAATTACAACACTATAAACGTCTGCAGCAGCAGCAGCACATTATGTTGACACAGTAGGCTTTATATTTTACCAGATGCTTATTTGTTAATGTTCCCTGAAGCTTACAGTCAGTGTGCTGTAATCCAGTAAAAGGTCACTCTGCCCAGTTGCAGTGCATGCTGACTCAATTAGTTTACAAGAGCACCATCGCCTCTCACTATTGTACTTGGCGAACACTCAAAGCGGACACGTCAGACTCACCAGCGGCACTGGACAGAGATTCTTTCTCTGCTACAGTCAACCTCCTGCGCTGACATCTGGGTTTACACAAGGTGGGGATTTAACGTTGCGCTTTTAAGGCCGTGGGCAAATTTGACTTTCACGCAGTTAATTCAATGTAAGGCTGCATTTATTTAACCAATCGTAAGGGTGTTTACAAAAGTTTTGTTGAACGTTGAACTAAACAATTTAAATTCATAAGTGTCATGCACTCTAAGTCTACCTTGTATCTTCAGGAAATGTCTGTATAGAGCAGCGGAGCAGAAGGTCGGTGGTCCAGCCGCGTCACACACTTGGCACTGCGTTAGCGTCACCTTGTAGCTGTTTTGTCAACAGATGTTGTCAGCACATCCTGGCCTACTCGGTGTCAAACGCACATGTCAGCTGTTGGCCAACATGGTGTTACAAACAGACTTTTCGATCTGCATGTTTCCTCTGTAACTAAGGCACATTATTCCCTTTTATTAAAAAAAAGAAAACTCTCTATATCGCCTCTGTCTGCTGCAGCGAGGTGACCGCACAGAGGAATCCCATGCACATTTGTGAGTGAGTGTGCATGTCTTTGTTTGCTGGTCTGTTAGAAAAGTTTCTCATGAACCATTGGACAAATTTTATTTAAACTCCCAGAAAGTACTAAATGAACAAATATCTGCAAATGATTAACTTTTGGAGTCAACCTGATTCAAGAAGGCCACTACAACTACTGAACCTTAGTAAACACAGAGATGTTTATAACTCAGCTTTACTGATATAGTGCTCAGACTCGGTGGGGTAGTCACTGAGATTCAAGTCCAAAATGTGCTTTGAGTATTAACAAATCTCTCAAGAGTTTCTGTTTAAGACCTTGGCGTCCGTCTATTAGCAAAATATCCCATGAATCACTGAAGAATTTTTAATAAACTTCCAAAAACGTAAGTATTAGAGGTACATCAAAAACTGATAATATATGTATTTTTAAATCAGCATGATTCAAGTTGATCTGTTTATCAACTTTAACACAAAAAATGACCATAACACATACACTTTTACAGATATTGAGCTAAATCCTGATGTAGTAGTAGTTGAGTCATTCACAACACATACTCCAAGTACATATTATACAGATATTTGTATAAAACTTTGACATGCAAAGGGATGGAAGATTTGCGGTCCATCAAGGAATGCTTACTTTGTTTAATGCTTATTTTGTGTGGATAGATCGAATTTCTACTTTACATGCTTCCAATTGTTAGTAAAGCTGTAACAAACAAAAATAATGACGCTGCTATGTCTTCACACCTTTTCCACATGCCTCACATTTTACTATTTCTTCTTGGTGGGTGGTAATTTATGTCTGTGACATTTTATATGCAGTCAGGTGGAGGATTTTGAAGGTTTTACAACACTGGGAGCCACTGCAAGTAAGGGCAGAAAAAATAAATCTTTTGAGATTAGGCAATCCTAAAGTACAAGTTACACTAATAAATCCAGAAGAAGAACATCTGTTGTATCTTTAGGAGTTTTAAAAGAATTTTAAGTACAAAAATTCTCTCTTAAATTTATTTCTTTTACTCTTTATCACTTTCTGTGTTCCTGTTCTGTTTTTCTTTGGTATAAAATAGTGTTATTATCTTTAAAAACAGGGCATGCAGGGGTCCCCAGTGCCCTGTAGTAATGAGTGGCAGGTGCTGGAAGTGGTGCAGTCAAGGAGAATGCGTCAATAATGATGCAGGGGCATGGGTGTAGGAAGCAGCTGAAGGAAGTGTGTATATGTGTGTGTGATTGTGTTGCTAAAGACTGGAGCATGAAGAAAAAAGGGGTAAGAATCACATGGCAGCTAGAACTCAACTTGGCTGCTGCTTAGAGATGTTCTGGATCTTGCTGATTAAGACCTGAGTAGCCCTACGTTTGTCTGAGCATGGTGGGTGGTGCAGCAGTAGTACTGCTATGAAGTCAGAATACTAGGGAACATCAGATGCCACCTCCTCCATTTCCATGCACCCTTTACTCCCTCTTTCTTCCTTCTCTTGGGAGCCTGAGGATGTCACTCCATGTGAACAGTTCATTCTTCAACCATCTCCCAAACCCACACCAGTAGGCCTCCCTCATGGCAAACCCCAGTCAACCACATCTCTATTGTTATTTTAGCTCACGCATGATCAGACACATGTGCTATGAGTGATGGTGACACGTGTGCTGGTAAGTAACACCAGGTGAAAAAACAGTGGGATATAGAGAATAAATGGAAGCACTGTTTCTGCACTGAATAGTAGACAGTCAAACCAAAAACCCTGCAAGAAACACAAAGCATTGTTGTGGTAACAGGTATTTCTCTAGAAACCACAGAAATGTTTTGCACCAATTTCATCTGACATTATTCTAAAGAGGAGCAGAATATCTAGGCCACCGTTCACCACACAGGATAGAAGGATTGTGGGATGGAAAGTCACCAGCCACACACTAGTGAAAAGCTCTCGTTTAGGGGTTACCTCAAGTCTGCTTCTTGCACCAATTCTTAATTCTTTCCCATCTAAATCTCACTTATTTACTCTGAACATATACTCTTTCCCTCAGTGCATCCCCTTCCTTTTGAAACAATTTTAACCACCTTTCTCAACATTGGTTCAATTTGTTTGAGGGGCCGTAGTACGGTGGCACAGTTGGTAGAGCTGCTGCCTCTCAACGAGAAGGTTGCCAGATCTTATCCTGTCCAAGGATCTTTCTGGGTGAAGTTTGCATGTTCTCTCCATGCATGAGTGAGTTTTCTCCAGGTACTCCAGTTTCCTCCCACAGACCAAAAACACGCATGTTAGGCTGACTGGTAACTCTAAATTGTCCCTAGGTGTGAGTGAGAGAGTGAATGGCTGTTTGTCTTGTTTTCTCTATGTGTCTCTGTGATGGTGTTGCGACCTGTCCAAGCGTCCCCCGCCTCTCACACAGTGATAGCTGGACATGGGCACCAGTGATCCCCACGACACAGAAAGGAAGAAGCAGGTAAAGCTAATGGATGAGTGAATGGATGTTTGTGGGACTCTTTTCAGACTGTTCCAGACAATACAATAATGAAGTGTTCAACCTGGTCTATTTTCCCTTGGACTACCACCATTGATTGCATGCTACTTCTTATTGAGAACTTTTGGGAGGAAGATTTTGGTATGGTATAAAAATGGGTTCAGTCAAACATATTGCAAAGGAACTCAAAATCACCCCTCTACATGTATCATGGTAAACTCTGCCAAGCCATTGGTAGGAGCTTCAACAACACCTGTGAAGTGTTATGTGCAGTGTGTACTTTTGCTTATCGTTCATGTATAGGATAATTACTGGCCTATAGGCTTCCTTTTCATACATACACTCTCTCATTAAATCTAAAGCACCAAGAGACTTGTAATTTCAGACGGATGTAGCCATCATTCCTATTAAAATGTGCATGACTTAATAACCATCTCTCCTGTTCAGCAACTATATGTA